TTACTACCGTAACCTAACCTAACTAACTAACTAACGTACGTTACTAACTTAACTAACTAACTAATATTATTACTTTCTTCTCGTACGTCGTGTGTATATATATATATATATATATATATATATATATATATATATATATATTGGGAAACGACTTAAAAATTGCCTACAGCGAAATACCCTGATAGGCCTCAAGTATACTCTCTATGCAACTAAACTTTCAGCTAACCTTTCTCTTCATTTTTTTTCCCACAACCACCTTTCCTCGCAAATACCCCCTCTCTCTCCTAGTGAATTTTACCCATGACTACTCTCTTCCTATACGTTTTACCCACATGCTTTAGCAATTCGAAGACTCTCCGACAATGAAGATACGCGCTCCCACAATACAGAAGGTCGTTCCAGCAATGAAGACACGCGCTTCAGCAATGCAGAGGGTCGCTCCGACAATGAAGACATGCGCTCTGGCAATGCAAAAGGTCGTTCTAGCAATGAAGACACACGCTCCATCAATGCAAAAGGTTGCTCTGGCAATGAAGACACGCGCTCCAGTAATAAAACTGTTCCAGCAATGAAGACACACGCTCCAGCAATGCAAAAGGTTGCTCTGGAAATGAAGACACGAGCTCCAGTAATAAAACTGGTTCGAAATCCCCTCTTTTAGCTTGTATTCTCATGTTTTCTGCAATCACACATATATGGCAAATATTATAAGACAGGTGGGTCAAAGACCTCACCTTTCCTCTTTAGTGAACGTACACAAGCATGCACATTCAAAAGAAGAAGAGAAAAATGAGAGAAGGAAAATGGAGGAGAGAAGAATTTGACTAGGCGAGGAGATCAACACAATGACTAAACTGATAAGTAATTGGCCTGACGGGGTAGTAAAACAAGCTCGGTAACTCAGACCGGCTCAACAGGATTACTACTAGACGTCATTACTGATACTGACCAGCTAGACATGATAGTTAATCAGTCGTGGCAATAAAGATAGCACAGTAGTTCTGGCACAACAACATTACGGCAAGACTACAGGGCTACCATTAAAGGGCTAATCTTGAACCCTCTTAATCAAACGAAAGAATAACAGAATGAAAGATCATAAAGAAAGAATATAAAGCAAGATAAGAGAAGAAGAGAGCATAAAGAAGTAGGGGGAAGAGAAAGAAAGAAGGAGAAGAATATGAGAGAAGAGAAAATCACAGACGACGCCAGACGGTGTTAGGCATTTCAGGTTGTATTAGGCAAGGACAAGGAAGAAGACATAGTCGGCACTGAGCATCGTCGGCTGTATTAGACAAAGAAGAGAGAGAGAATACAGTCAGTGTTAGGCTTCGCCGACTGTGTTAGACGGAGAAGAGCAAGAAGATGCAGTCGGCGCTAGGCTTCACCAACCATGTTCGAAGAACAAGAGACAGAAGATGCAGTTGGAGCTAGGCTTCACCGATTGTGTTAGACATAGAATAAAAAAAGGATGCAGTGGCGCTAGGCTTTGCCGATTGTGTTAGACAAAGAAGAAAGAGAGGATGCAGTCCGCGCTAGGCTTCGCCAATTGTGTTAGAAGAAGAAGAGAGAGAAGACACAGTGGGTGCTAGGCTTCACCAACCGTATCAGACAGAGAAGAAAGAGAAGATACAGTCGGCACTAGGGCTCACTGACTGTGTTAGACAAGGAAGAAAGAGAAGACACAATCGGAGCTAGGATTCACTGACTGTGTCAGACAGAGAAAAAAGAGAAGATACATTCGATGCTAAGCTTCGCTGATTGTATTAGACGAGGGGCAGAGAGAGATAAAGATAAAAAGAAGAGAGAGAGAGATAGAGATGAGAAGAAGAGAGAGATAGAGATGAGAAGAAGAGAGAGAGAGAAAGATAGAGACGAGAAGAAGATAAAAAGAGAGATAGAGATGAGAAAGAGAGGAGAAGAGAGAAAGCTACCTTACTGAAGGGTATCAGCCATTTTCTTCTCTCTCTCCAAGACGCACCCACGAGCTTAAGAAGAAATTGAAGTTTTATTGATCCTTGTGTGAAATGAACCGAAAGTCTTTTTACAATTTGGCTTTGCATGCTTATATAGAATTGGGCTAAAACATGGGTGTACGCCCAAAAACTACCTAGAATTAAAGATAATTACAATTTAATTGAATTAAAAGAAATTCTAAAAATGGGTGCAAATAGACTGTTTTGCCCCTGCCTAATAATGTGTGGAATTCCAAAACAGCCCCTACTGCAGCCCGAGAACTTGTGTGATCTTCCATGACTGATCCGGGGTTATTCTGATGCCCGTTTGATTGAAAGATGATTATTTTCTTGTGGGGCTCGGCATGGCGATCGGTTGATACCAACTTTGAGCCATGAATCATGTTTTTAAGCCATGATCATGAGACTTGAGTTTTGGATGAATCTTGAAAACTTTGGCTCGATTGTGTATTCGTTCCTTGATGTTTCTTCGTGATTTCTTCACTGAATCACACTGAGCTTGCTGTTACAATCACGTTGCAATACATGCAGCTTGATTTCATGTTTAGATGAAGATTCCGTCGTCTTAAGTTTTTGGCCAGAATGTTGAAATCCGACGGCCGAAATTTATAGCAGCTTTGATGCCTTCTTGTTTGAAATCCAACCATTCATCGTATATGGGGGTTCGGATCAGAGATGGCCACGAACATTACGTATATAATGCAATTGGTTTCGTGTTGATCGGGTATGCGAGCATCATGATTTGGCTGTCGGAGTGGGGCTTTCTTTACGGATCAACAACTTCTCTCTAGTTTTTCCCCCTGTTCGAGCATCGTCACGGGGCATACTACATATTGAACCGCTCGTCTTGACGAGACGAACACGCTCACCAAATTTGAGCACGATCCAACTTGGAACGAATGAGATATTGATCCCAAAAATCACTACCCGTGACTGTAAAAACAACCACCTTTAATGGTGTTTTAGTGCCAGGTGGCCACACGGGAATCGTGTGCGGCCTACCCCTTTTCGGTATTTTACCCATAATTTTGTCCCAGAGTGCTCGATTAAGCCGAAATCTGATCCATAAGGGTTTTCGACCATGCCGGATCCAATGGTGATGGTCCCACAATAATTTGACTGACCAAAAGTATAGTTCTAGTTATGGGGTCTATTTTAGGGTGCTAGAGGCCAATTTTTCTGAAATTGTTTTGTTGTGTTCACTGCCTTAGACATGTCTAATCACGATGAAACTTGGCAGGTGGCTTTTTGAAGTATTGATGAAGATCTTGATCAGTTCTGGGGAAATTCTGAGACTATCAGAATTTCCACTATTTTGTAGGCTTCATTGACCTGCTTCCTCTTTATTCCTTGTCGGGGACCAAGGTGCTGAAAAATGCGTTCAAACAGCTTGCTCCGCCAAATGTTGCGGTTCGAGAGAAGGACAACATTCGAAAACTTTTATTCGGCTTTATTAATTTTTTCTTCCTAGCCCCAAGATGACATGAACGCCGAGGAGATTCATGCAATGGTGCAACTAGGATGCTTAGACGTAGGGATGCATTGTTCGTGGGTACGTCCGTGGAGACTTTAAGGGGAAAAAAGACTTTTTTTAGGGATCTTGTCGACGTCCTCACCCTCGTGTGGATTATTTGTGATTATGAAGCTTATGATTTGTATGGACCTCATCAGTCAGAATCAAGCCCATCTGACAATTGAGTGTCATGCCGAAGGGCATTGTTCCCATTTAGTCTGAGTTCTGGTGTTGAGCCATGTTTTGAGGATTTTATGAATGGTATGTTGAAGAGCCTTACATCGGCGTAGTCTTCTATATGCATCAGTCATTCCTTGGCGAGTAGGGTACCTCAGTTTATCGAGGTGACCAGCTTTGGGTACAACCACTCCTACCCACTACTTTGCTGCTACGACAATCATCTGATTACTGCTCCAAAGTCATGACTGACCAGTTATTCCTTGACGAGTAGGGTACCTCAGTTTATCGAGATGACCAGCTTTGGGTACAACCACCCCTACCCACTACTTTGCAGCTACGACAATCATCTGATTGCCGCTCCAAAGTCATGGTTGACTTAGCCTTATTGGGGCATCTCTAGCATCTTGGAGTGCATTTCGTGACCTCATGGGAATGATGTTCTTCTTCATGAGACTTGTCTTGCCATCTTGGCGAGTATCCTGTCTTTCCAGTCCTTTTTGCAACTGGACTCAGGCTGTCGGAATCTTTTCCTTAGAGCTCATATTTTTGGATTTTGGTAGTGTAACACCAGGGATTTTTATTTGAGTGAGGGCTGAAGCCGCCTGCTGAGGTGAGTGTTGCAACAACCTTTTTATTGGTCCAAGCATTCTTTGCTGATTTTCACTTGAACTTGGGAAGTGGTGCCTTAGAGACGGTTTTCACCAACGTTTTTTATTTGGGGCTCTTTTACCCATGACATTTCGGTCATGTCCACCCTTATTCTTCAATTTTTACTCACGATGTCCTTTCGGGTTTTCACCGTGCCTGGTTTTTATTCACAAAACTCTTTTACTCATGGTTTCATGACCATGCCCGTCCGTCATTTTTACTCATGGTGTTCCCTTATTAAGGTATACACCATGCCCGTTGTTTCATTATTTTTTTGTGAAGGCTACCTATGAAAGATGAATGATGTATGGATGAAATGTGGAAAGTGGTGACCCACTATCTTATGACGAGTATAGGTGGTGGGATGGTTCGCCGTTTTGTGAGCGCGAGTGAGACTCACTAGGGGAATGATGGAAAATAATGGAATGAATGGGCTCACTGAGGAGGTAGTGAAGGTGGTACACGCACATGTTTGGGTCAGTTAGGGAAGACGTGCA